AATCGCTAAAACTTTTTACAGTGATGAGATTTTGAAATGAAATTTGGCACACATGTAGAGCTGATGTAGCTCTATAAGGTTACCGGTCAAATTTTTTTTAAACTTCTTAGATAAAAAGTTATAGCCATTTAAAAAATTGAAACACTTCGTGTAACCGTTGAGTATAGATGTCTTGCACCATATTAATTATTTTTTTTATCTTAATATACAAAAAATTCTGCTGTTCAAGTCCTTGAACGCCTACTATTTAATCTCATATTTGTTGATAAACATAAAATTACAATATTTATAATCTAATGTGAAATAACTACTATGCAATTAAAAAGTACACATTGAATGAAGATAACTCAAAAGAAACATGATGTCAGACGTGCGATCCGGATATAAAGATTCGAAGATGGATAAATGAATGCAAGAAGACTATTGGAAAGTTCTACAGTGCAAACCTAACCAATAAATAACCTTTGTATACATTAAGTAGGCTACGATTTATTACATCAACTTTTTAAGTGACTAAATACTAGGCCAATTTTATAATTATTGCTATAAGCACTTGTACTGAAAATTTTGGTGTTAAAAGTAGAATATACGAATTCATGTGTTATTATTTGTTCAATATAGCAATATCTTGTATACGACCATCTAGATAAGGTAATATATTTTTTTGATCAAGGATGTAACTTGTTAATATCTTATTTTCTGTGTCAAAAGGAATTAATCCTAGAACTGGATATGGAAGCAACCTAAAGATAGATTCAAAAGAAATTATAGTTAAAACGGGAGAATCTAAAAAAAAAAAAAAAAAATTTACTTACCCATCACCACCGTTTGCAATAAAATCAATAGTAGCAATTTCATAAATTTTATCGCTCGCGATTGACTCAAACATTTTGGTATTCCAATTCCAAATCTTTATTTCAATCAATCTCTCAAATATCGGTTTGCTACTATCATATTTAAACCTGATTCCAGAAACTTGAATAAAACTACTGACTCTTTTTCCTGAAATAATATTACGTGATCTTCCTACTACCGTTTCTAACACATCTGAAATGTCTTTTCCAGTTAAGGGTAAAATCACCAGAGAATTATTGAATGGTAAAATGGTCAGAATGTTTGCTTTTGTAATATGCCCTTCCGATAGTCCAGCTCTGATCCCTCCGGCATTTATGATTGCAGCATTTATTTTCATAGTGTCAAACTTAGTAGCATTTAAAATGGAAACATTCGCTTTTAATTTGCTGCTAGTATCTCGTTGAAAATACCAAAGGAATGAGTCTGCGATCAGATTTCCGATCGTACATTCTTCTGTCTGACATTTAGATTGATCAAACGCGTCTATTGCATTGCCGATTGTAATGTTTGTATATTTATCAAATGGAGATCGCCATTGGCTTACTAAGTTAGCCAGGCCAAGGTCTTGAGGAATTGATTGATCAATCAGGATTGGTGCACCGGAATAAGCGACAAGTTTTCCGGCTTTGTTAAATGAGATATCTAAATGTCCTATATATTTTCCGGACCAGAATGCCTACGTACGTAAGTACATACATATTAGATATGTAAATTTTATCATCAAAATGATCAATAGCATTATTTTACCAGCACAATCAATGTATCTTCTTCTTCAGCATTCTTGACAACAGTAGGATATGGTCCTTCTATTAATGAATAATCCTTTGAAGTGGCATCGTTAGATAGAAAACTATGACTATGCCCTCCAATATGCACAGCAATACCATGAGTTTTTGCCGCTAATTTTTTATCAAATTTGTATCCGAGATGAGAAAGTGTTAAAATTCTGTTAATTCCTAATGAATGTATTTCATCAACGTAATGTTGAACTGTAGAAATTGGATCAGTGAATGATATGGTCGAACCCGCGTTGGAAAATTCATCTGTTATCTTAGTATAAAATAATCAATTTGATGGGAAAATATGTTCAAATTTAAAAATTTTAAAAAAACAATAAGATTGACATACATTCTGTTATATAACCGATAACAGCAATATTATATTCTTCAAATATATGATATGGTTTTATGTACGCTCCAAGTAAAGGATTTAATGTTGTATTTATATTCGCACACACAATTGGCATGTTTAATTGTTCGAAGTGGGCAGCAAGTGTTTCTGGACCGTTATCGAATTCATGGTTTCCAATGGCCTACTTTATAAATTAGTTACTTTTAAAAAAAAATTAACAGAGGAAAAGAGCAATGAAAGGCTCACCGTGATGTTATAACCAAGTAAATTCTTCATTTGGATGATAGTACGGATAGTTAGTTCTAAGGAGATAAATCCGATTTGCCACAAATATAGAAATACTCACCAAAACTTCAGAACTTAACATTCCCTGTCGTTTTATTGAAAAAATTGGTTTTTAATTTTCTTATTCAACTTGCCTTAAAATTATAATTATAATTTAACTTACATTGTAATGTGTAAAGAATAAAGTACCTACAAATTTTCAAATTCAAATTCAAATATTTGAGTTTTTTATTTGATAGACATTTACGCGTAGATTGGTCACAAGTGTTTTTATGTACAATACCTTGAAACTGATCTCCTCCATCCAAAAGCAATGAATTTTTATTCTCTCTTCTCAACATATCAATTACAGTCTTATGTCTAGCGATTCCACCAAAACACCCGTTCTCTTCGAATTGCTTCGTTGTACAATCCGTGAATTCTTCATTAATTTGATCATAATGTGAGTGAACATCGTTTGTATGAATAATTGTTAAATTCCAAATATCAGGATCTACATTTTTATTTACAGTTGGTGTATATAAAGAATAAGTAAGCGTGAAGTATGTAGTGGTATGAATGATGGAGATGAAGAATACAGTTGATACTACGGTTATGACAAATATTGGCATTATACAATAAAGTTTTTTCAAGGATAATATCATCTCACATATTATTTATATTATTTAGTTTTGAGGTAAGTATAAACCTTATACGCATTTATTTATTAAAAAATAAATATTTGTAAGAATCGTAAACCGGAGGCTTATGCCCAATAACAATCGGAGACGTCTTGAAGATAATATTAAAACAAGTAAACGAAACATTTTGTGACAAATTATGCTAGTTTCATATTTGGAAATTTTTCTTGCATAACTTTGTAGTAAAGCTGCCACCACTACTTTCTTTCATTTAGTAAAAAAGAATTAGCCATTTGTCTTATGCCAGTTACGCACAAAAATAAAATTTAAATAAAATTTAAATGTCATATCATTCTTAGTTTTCTACTATACTGATTATTGATAGTAATTTTGCGCATATAAAAATTTATAAGAGCACGAAGATACATAATTTAAACTTGAATTTTTCTTGCTGCTTAACCATGACGCAAAAATTAACGTTAGTAGATACGATACACAACACTACAATAGGACACGATTATCATCACATGACAAATGTCACGTTCATGAACGCGTATGCTTGCAAACACGAATGCCAACAATGCCTAAAACATTAGTAATTTTTTATTCCCACAAAGGTTTAAATGCATGAAGGTTGTATCTACCTCAAAAAAATCCACGACCGAGATCGTTACTTTAATCGTTCTACCACCGGATTCTTCAAGAGAACTATGCCTAATATCAAAAGCGTCAGGGTGACATTTCCTGTTAACATATTGATCAAGGCCTTAAAATCAGACCTAAAAATTAACTGTAAATTTAAATTATTTAATTTAATATTCTTACAAAGCAAATCCGCAATAGCTATTCTTCCCTTAACATCAAATGTGTCAATGATATACATATTCCTCAACCAAAATTTTTTAGTTTCAAGAACCAATGAAATTACCTCTGATATCTAAAAAACTCAATGGTATTCGCATCTTAATCCTCCAGTCTCAAATTTAATTTTTACCAAATAAAGAGAACTTAAAACAGGATTATTAATAAAGCTTCAGATATTATTTTAGCCTTTTATAATCTACATCAAATCAAGTTCAAAACGATTATCACCAACTCAAAGTATATTTCAACGTTGAATTCAAGTAAAGCTAATCAACTAACGATCCTACTATATCGTAGCCGACAAAATTTTCATTCAAACCTAAATGTGTTAACGTAGAGTTATTTCAAATGTTTCTACGAACGCTATTCCATATTCTATTCTATCCACGTTACAATTATTATAAGTACGGTCTCTAAGTTCTATATACCGGTATCTTAAAACCGTATTTTCACATAAAAATTAGCTAACACCTTGCTCCGATTGTCCATGCATAATTATCACAATAGTCAAAGCTTTATTCTTAAATAAAGTTTCGACTAATAACCTTTCTTCTGACTGAATATAAGTCGGTGTCTTATTGCTGCAAATAACATTCACTAATATTTTTTCACCAAACAATCCAAAATAATTTTTTCAAATACGTCAGAGTCGTATTTTCACAAAGTAAATCAACTGATTCCTTCACATTCATTCTTGAAAGAACACTCACTAAGATCTGACGAAATGATCCTATTCTTTTGAAGTACTATACTCTAATAATTCGTATTTTTCTTCAGATTTAGAGCTCTTCATATTCACCACGCTGCTGTAGCGTCTAAAATCTCTAAAAATTTTAAACAAGAATTTTCCAATGGAAAAATATTCGAACGTGAATCTAATAAAACTAAAATTTCGCGTCAAACCAACACAATACCTGGCATCTACAATAAATCACTCTCATTATAATAATTTATACCTACATTAAACTAAGCCCTAATTCTTAATATCCTCTGTTATTTATCTTCTAATAAATATTTAAGACTTTAACACGGTCTAGATCCACAAATTCCCTAAATATCTCATCCAACAAATCTGGTTCTGAAGATACTGAATTACTTCTGTCTATTTAAATATTTTTTAATAATAAACAACTAGACGTGAAATATTTGATAAACATATGAATTTTTTATAAAAAATATGGAAATTTATGACAATATAATTTTAAGGGACAATGAGAATTTAAAATTGAACCGTAAAATAAGATCACAAGATATTATTGAATCATCACGCATGAATAATATCAATTGAAAGATTTTTATTACTATTGAATCACAATTTACATTTACATTCATTTGTATTCGTCAGGTAAATATTGTAAGATGTTTTTTTTGTTTACGCTATTTGATATTTTAATCGAATACGTTGGTTGTGATGAAGTCATATGTTCTATGCTTATATTGCTTTCAGGAAAATTTTTCTTTACAGCGCTTTTGATATTTTCTTTAAAATGTTTCAACAATTCATATCCATATCCATCATTAGAGGTTCCGTTAAATTCCTTCACACTTTGTCTATTCTTGTTTTCAGTAAAATTATAAACAAAATCAGTCTTGAGTAACCGGAAATTATTATCTACGTTCAATATGAGTTTGTCAATCATAGATTTGAGATTTTTTGCGACGAATTCATTGATCTCGACTTGACGCGTGTACTTGGGTACGTTAAAGTAATCGAGTTCTTTGTCGAATTCTTGTTCATCGTAGAGTTCGTTCGTTTCATATTTAGGTGGTTTATTGGTTTGATAATAATTAACAATCTTTACGAACACGAAATGATTATTTGCTTTAAGTTGATAAACAGGCTGACCATCTACGATAACAGGAGTAAGCATTTCTTTGTTTGCTGGATCAAACATTCTTCCAAGCATTGTTTCTGGTTTCTCAAGTATTTTATCGAGAGGAATATAAAATTTAAAAGGACGATTTAATGTATCTTTAAGTTCGAAAGTAATATTTTTTTCTGGATTATCTGAAGTGTCAGATCTTGCTCGTTTTTTTGCTGACATTTTTTTGTTTTGGATGAAAAGTTAGAGTGTAATTCAAAATAAAATTATAAGTGAACGTGTATTTATTTAAATGGTACATCCAAAAAAGGGGTCACGCAAATCACGAGGTAATTTTTTCATTTGAAATTTGGGTGATCGACACTTATAAAAAAATCGATTTTTGTCTGGACAGACTTACCCTTTGATGACCAAAATTACGTTTTAAAATATTTTCCGGATGTAACGCCCCTGAAAATTTTGATTTACGACATAACAAGACTTTTCAGGGGCTGAAGTGAGCTCAAGATTTATACTGGTTTCCGGTTCCTAGTATAGTGTAGTTAGTGCAGTCAGGGATTATTGAAATATGGAAATGATCTGCAAATATATTAGAAGGTTATTCTAAAACCGATTTCAATTTAAAAAACAAAAGTGTTTTTTATTATTTGAAAATAACAATCAGTTTTAAAAAAACCTTCAAAATTTTTTTGCAAAAAGTATTCCAAGGCTATGTAGTTTAGGAATCCCCGGGGATCCCTGAGGCTTTATAAGGCCGTTATGTACTAAATAACTAAAGTGTAACAACTAGTCAATAATTTGGCCAAAATTTGTACTACAGAATTGCAGATCTTTACTAAAAAACGGAATGATCTGCGTTACACAATTTTCAATAATCCCTGACTGTAGTATATCAAATACAACCCCAAACCAAATATTACTCTTTCTAATATTCTCATATCTTGTCTAACTTCACAAAAGATAAAGTCATCTCAACTATTAACCAACTCTCTAATAATATCAGGAAATTTTTAAATTAGTTTGCAATTGATTGACAGAAAGAAATATCAATTAATAAGCAGCACCTCTGTTGATTATTAGTGATACTAATTAGAATCAATTGACATCAAGGCTGCTAATTAAAATCAATTAGAATTACTTTAATTGAAATCAATTAATATTAAAACTAAATTAAAATTAATTTTTTTTAATTAATTGTGTATTGATTAGCTACCAATATTGATTATTATCAATTTTTCTAATTAATAGCAATCACTTTTGCAGCTAGTAATTAATATCCACACTATTTAAAAATTTTCTAATGAATAAAGCCTGTGGTCTATTTGGTATTAGTTATAAAATGCTTAAACATACAGGCTTCAATTTTATTACTACTGTTATATTTCTTTTCAACTGCTATCTTTTCTTCCAAACCATATTCAAACAATGGAAAGAAGGACGTATATTTTTTATTTTCAAAAAATTTATCTTTGATAGAAATCTATTTAATACTCAACTTATCAGTTTAGTTGAACATATCAAAAAGCTATACACTAAACTTCTTACTAATTATCTCAACCTTACCTTCTTCTAACACAATATCTTATTACTATTCAACTTTGTTGCACTTCTTGGCAACTCTATTTCAATACCTATCTACATTCTTAACAATATTATTGAAAATACAAATAGCAATTCAAACCAATTATGGCTTCTCTTCTAGGATATAAGTAAAGCCTATAATTTAGTTAACTTTGAATTATTTCAAAAATCACTATACCGAATCCAAATACCTTAACAACTTATCAATATCCTAACTAATCTTCTATTTGATTATACAAACCATATTATTACTAATTTTGGCCTTACAAATAGTGTTTGTAGTCGATCTTTATTTATTGACTTGACTAAGTCAATATTTAAAATTCAGCTTAGCCGGCTAAGTCAGAGTTGATAAATATTTTTTACCTTCAGAATTTATCAGTAATTTCATCAAATTTTTGTCATGACCTTATATTTGTTGATTTTCTTTTCAGATTTTCTCAATTTTTACTCTTAGTGCTATGTACTAAGAGAGATAATGTATCGAATTTGATTGGTACTTAATATAATCTAATATAAAATCGACTAAGTTGATTTTTTGGAAAATTGGCTGACTAAGCCAGCTAAGTCGATAAAAATCGACTATGCGAAATCGACTACAAACACTACTTACAAATTTTTACTTAGTCAAAAATAGAATCAATCAAAGAAAAACTATTATCTTACTCTTTTGAAGAATCTATTACAATCTCTAATTTCAAAATTTTCTTTACACTTCTCCAGATATATTCTTTTTACATCTACTACTCAACAAACTATTTTAACACCTCCATATCTGTTCTTGCATATATGAATAATACTTTATGGGTTGCTAACTTCAAAACACAACTTGAAAAAATTTTCCAAACTGCCTTCTTCTTTACTTTATAGCTGATATCCAAGTTAATCCCACCAAATTTCTACTTATAACTACACAACTTTTTTCTAATATCTCATTTCTTAACTCCAATTTGCAATCAATCTCTTTTCATCAACCCTTCAAATTTCTTGGTTGTTGTTTTATTCTTAATAACAAGCAATTATTACAAATTAAACTTATTCAAGATGAGGCTATTCAACTAGCCAATATTGCAGATACCAAAAACATAACTGACAAACAAATTATCTATATTATAAATATTGTTATCATACCAACTATTGAATATCAGCTCTACAATATTATAATCCTCTTACTCAAATACAACAAAATCCTAAGCAAATATCTTACAATAGCTAAACAAAAAGTATACCTTTCTTGTTTTACTTCCAACAGTACTCTTTTTAATTATAATCTCTATAATATCCACAATATTGAAATATATAACTATAACATTATATTAGTTATTTTCTCAACCATATTAATAACAATTCTACTCTTGGTATCACAACTCATATTTGACTCCAGCAACTTCAAAATAATCTTTGGTTAAACTACCAATATTCTACAATATCCTCATCCTACTATTGATAGTCCAAACAAACACACAACTATTTTTAAAATTATATAACTTTTTAACTATCTACAAACTTCTATTTATGCACATCCTGATTTCTCTTAGCCCAAAACAATTACTAATAGTAATACTTTACTTAAAAATATATATAAAAACTGTGAAAATTACAGTAATCTAGAACAAGTATATACTAATACTGACCAAGCAAAATACTGCTTTGAAGATATAGAAAGTTTAATAGATAAAGAAGAAATTAGAGAACATATACTAGCAATGACACACCAAGAATATTTAGTACATCTTTAACCACTCCAAATATAATACCTTTAAACAACAACTTCAACACAAATATATCTTCTACTTAAAACAACTTTGCTTAGCTAACAACAATATTCTTTAAGACTAGCAATATCTATCTCTAAAAATTTTACATATTCCCAAAGGCAGAAAACCTACTTGGTTTAACTATCTTGAGAATACTATTCTTGACAACAACTCACTTTATACTATTTCATTACATTTTCAATCTAAAGATCTTAATCTCTTTGCATATCAAACCAACTCTATTTTTAAAATTCATAAATCTTGGATCTTATCCTACTACAATAAAAATATCATAATAGGCCAAATTTGCAAAACATTTTCCAAAACTAATACTATTTCTATAACTTACTAGCAACACAATATCAATACTTCCACTTCCAACTTCTACTCACTACTTCTATTACTTGTACATGCTACCATGGCTGTAGCTTTAACTTTAACTAAATTTCTAGCTATTATATACTTGAAGTATCTGCTATTTTTTCTATTCAATTTTTGGAAAAAAAAAGCTAACAAACAACTTAATCTCAATGCTAACTACATTGATCTTATCTAGTTCACTAATATCAAAAAAGCTACTAAAATACTATCTATATCATCAATTAATCTTATTGACTCATCTATATCTACTATTTTTTATAACAATGATACTTCTTCACAGCTTATCCAAATTGTACTAGCTAACCTTTTTTAGTATCAATTTACTTTTTATATAGATAGCTCTGTCAAACAACTTGGTACTAACCAATGCTCTATGGATATCAGCTAGATTCAAGTCTACAATAACCAAGTTATACAAAGTTTCTTTGCTCAAGTTACAAACTAGCCTTCTTTTTATAAAACTAAACTATTAGTAATTCTATCTGTTATCTTGACTATCCTCTCCTATCTACAAATCTTTACCAACTCACAATTAGTTATATCCAAATACAACAAACTCCTTATTCTATCCTTTCACTCTACTAAAAAACTTCAAGTTTAACTCCTGGTCTATTTGGTATACATTTCTTAATATTTTAAAAGCTTTTAGATAGTTTAGTTTGGGGTTGGTAAAGTTATAAGAGATTTTTTGGTTATTGTTAAAGTATAGCCAAGAGGTACATCAGCCCACTTTTAAAACCACA